TATTATAGAATAATAATAATATAAAAATATATATTGTATAATTGGAAAGAAGAGTTCCTTACATAGCCTCTCCTGTGTTTCTTAAGATTTCTCTTTTATGACTCTTTCTTCCATCTCTCACATCTTTCCACATCCTTAAATCTCTCTCATCTATCTTGTTTTTTTCCCTCCTCTAGTGGTAGTGAGGATGCTCTGTCTAATGATGACTGTGAGAACGTCTACCATCTAGTGTATTCAGCTCATCGTCCTGTTGCTGTAGCAGCTGGAGAGTTCCTTCATAGAAAGTGAGATGAATTAATGTGTTTTTGACAGCCACATTTTACTCTTTTAAACATGAAGACAGCACAGCAAACTCCTCAAATGTTTTGATCAGTTGGTTGTTGTGTCTGGCTGCAGGTTGTTCAGCAGGCATGACCCTCAGGCTGAAGAGGCTTTGGCGAAAAGACGAGGCCGAAACAGCCCTAATGGGAACCTTATAAGAATGCTAGTGCTTTTCTTCCTAGAGAGTGAGGTGAGAAAAATTAATATTTGTTTGGTGGTTTTATAAGCAGGTCTCATCCTGTATTCACCAGACATTCATTTATTAGCTCATTCCTTCACTTAGAATTTGATTTCCTTATTTACAAAGGGATGTGTGCCAAGAAATGAAAATTAAATTCAAATTGTGGTAACAAACAGGATGCAGAATTGGAATTCAAGAAAAAGTACAACACATAGGGTATTTCTAAGCATTAAAGTATATTAATAATTAATGTTTAATGCCCATAGTGATAAGTGTAATATATTTTAGAAAATAACCTTAATAAATTAACTTTTCTTTTATGGACCATAGTGAGTCATTATTTTTCCCAGTTCTAATTTACAGTGAATTTGTTTGTCAATATTATTCATTTTATTCATTTTTCAATTAAAATTTTTTGTTATTTATATTTAGTTTAATTTTACTTTATTACTTTTTATAAGGTATTGATAACAATGTGATGGACTTTTTGTGGTACAAATTAAAATCCATTTTGATGGCCTTGTTAATTGTTTTGACAGTTTTAATTTACTTAATTGAACTTAATTTTAAGAAAATATTTGTAATCAGTTCAGAATCTTGTATACTGCATTATTCACAGTTTATTTAATTATGACAATAAGTCATAATTAATGAGATGTATGTTGCCACTAATCTTTGTATGATTGCAGTTCTGTAAAGCTTGTCATTTTTACAGGGTTCCTACACGGTCTGGAAAAGTATGGAAAAAAGAAAGAGTATGGAAAAATATTTGCATTTCCAGACTTTTGCCCCTATTTAGTTTTTATATATATAGAAAATTAAGAATTTAATAAAAATAAATTTATCATGCAAAAAGTGTGTTTTCATGGCAGCTGTTTAGTGATTCGTTAGTGTTTGTCAAACATGACTATGAATTCAAGGTGCACTTTTTCATTATGAAAAATGCAGGTTATAAGCATTTTGGGTTTCATCTCATGATATTCATAGCACCATATTACATAGCCTCAAGAACCTTTGCAAAAAAAAAAATTTACAGATTTTAAACTTGGCATATTGGACAATGCACACTGAGTCCCCTATTGTGCCATCAGCCCATTTCGCGGTGTGGTTTCTTGGCCTCCACAGAGTATGCGTTAAAGAGACCTAAGGCCTTGAAATATGACATACTGCCCTAACAAAAGCCAAATTTGGAACTTTTTTTTTTTACAGAACCAGTCTTTTTTTATAGACCGTTGAAATTGGCAAATAGGACAATGCACACAGCTGTATTATGCCATCAGCCCATTTCGTGTCATGGTTTCTCTGCCACCACAGAGGATGTGTTAAATTGGACATTAGGCATTGATATTAGAGGTACTACCATAAGGAAAGCCAAATTTTGAGCAAGTAGATCTCCGTTAATTCATGTGCGTCCATACTCTCGTTTTATTCATAGTAAGATGGCAGTGATGCACAGAATTGTAGAAATTGTAATTCGTAAGCATGCAAAAGATTCCTATGCGCATGTGAATAGTTTCTTGAGGGCACAAAAAAGTTTCTTGTGTGCATACAAAAGCCTTTTTCTTTCTTTCTTTTTTATTTTAGGGGCTCTGTATGTTGTAACTTCGTGAAAATCAATGAAAAAAACCCTGAGAAAATAAAAATATTTACAGATGACTGTACTATATACCAAATATAAAGCTGGAAATAATGCTGTATGAACCATTTTTGTTAAATATGGTCTGAAAATCTACTGAGAGGTTTGGAAATTTGAGTCTGGAAAAGTATGGAATTTTGAAATGGAAAATATGTAGGAACCCTGTTTTTATTCAAATTTTAATTCAACTTCCTTTGGGATGTGGCCAATTGAATTAAAATCCCAGCTTCATAAAAGAAAGCCAGTTCTTAGCTCCTAATATTTTCCCAAACACTAGTTATTGCTGTTTATCTAACCATCCTCCTGTCTTGTATGGTAGCTTCACGAGCATGCAGCGTACCTAGTGGACAGTCTGTGGGACAGCTCACAGGAACTGCTGAAAGATTGGGACTGCATGGTCGAGCTCCTGCTGGAGGACCCTGTGCAGGGGGAAGAGGGTACAGCCACCCACATTTATGCCACTAGCATGTATCTCTTGTTGCTCATTAGTCCTGTCTGATTGTGGGGGTTTTTTCGTAGTGTTGGGAGACCGGCATGAGAACGCACTGATCGAGCTCATGGTCTGTACCATCAGACAGGCAGCCGAAGCTCATCCGCCTGTGGGCAGAGGAACAGGAAAGAGGGTAAATTATCTTAGAATTGGTATTTACTGTAGACATATTATAGATTCTAGGTTTAAAGACTTTCTGTTGTTCTTCTGCGCATCCCTCAGGTGCTCACTGCCAAAGAGAAGAAGACACAGATTGACGATAAGAACAGACTGACTGAACACTTGATTGTTGCTCTGCCCATGCTGCTTTCGAAGGTAAAGTACCAAAATCCAGTAATGTCAGTTAAGTTCATGAGGCAGGAGAATATCCTCACAATAAAGTTTTCAAAACAACTGTACATGCAAAACAGAACCAAATTGCTTTTATTATAATCAAATTGAGCTGTCTACACTTGAGTCGTTCAATGTGATGTGGCACATAATCCATTGATGGTTTCCCTTCTTCTTCATTTTTATGAAAGTGTGTGCATTTATTTGATCAAAAATACAGTAAAAACAGAAAAAAAATCATTGCTATTTAAAACAACTGTATCCTATTGTAATATATTTTTTTAAAAATTGTATTGTTTTCAGCTGTCATTACTCCAGTTTTCAGCGTCACCTGATCCTTCAGAAATCATTCTAATATGCTGAGTTGTTGCTCAAGAAATCTGCATTTGTTTTAAAACGAAATTAAAAATGCAAGGATGCATTAAATTGATTAAATGTGACCGTAAAGAAATGTATAATGTTAAAAAATATTTATTTTTCAAATAATTCTATTATTTTGAACTTTGTTCTTCAAAGAATCCTAAAAAAAGTTTAATGGTTTCCACAAAAATATTAAGCAACACAACTGTTTTCAACATTCTTGAACAAATATTTCTTGAATCAGCATTTTAGAATGATTTTAAATTGTAATAAAATTTCATAATTTTGACGTCGGGAATATACATGCATTAATGTAACTAAAACATCAAAGCTAGCTTGTGATGGCATAAAGATGCTGAAACGAATGACTTTGAATGTTACAGGAAAAATTCTTCATATTTGTTTTGCTTTTGCCTTTAGTACCAGGCTGATTCTGAAAAGGTGGCAAACCTCCTTCAGGTCCCTCTGTACTTTGATCTTGAAGTCTACAGTTCAGGACGAATGGAAAAGGTCTGTTGGAGTTCTTACTACTGTGACATAAAAATTTAGACTGACACATTGTGTTTCAGTCAAGTGTTTAGTTGTTTTCTGATATTTATTCCTGAGTCTTTCTGGCTGTGTTTAGCATCTGGATGCCCTACTGAAGCAGATCCGGGTGGTGGTGGAGAAGCACGCTGAGATGGAGGTTCTGGAGGCATGTAGCAAGACTTACAGCATCTTGTGCAGTGAAGAATACACCATCATGAACCGCGTGGACATTGCTCGCAGCCAACTCATCGACGAGCTCATGGACAGATTCGCTCACTCAGTTGAAGACCTGCTGCAGGAGGTAAAAGAGCAGCTTCATTTCAGTGCTTTTTCATCTCATATATGAATATTAGTGACTGGCCTTTATGCATTTGATATTATAGTCTGTCTTTGTTCATTTCTTTATTTCTAGGGTGATGAAGCAGATGATGATGACATTTATAATGTTCTTTCAACGCTAAAGAAACTCACTGCTTTCCATAAGTAAGAGACCAATTCCCTCTGATTTTGTCTTTGAAATGCAGAATTTGTTTCTGTCTACAGAACATTCAGGTTTGTTTTGTATGCTTTCCAGTGCACATGACCTTACAAAGTGGGACCTTTTCAAAAATTGTTATCGATTGTTGAAGATGGGTATTGAACAGGGCTCCATGCCAGAGCAGGTAAATGTGTTAAACTATGAAAATGGATGGCGATCAATGGAATTTTAACTTTCTCATTTAAAAACACTGAATAAACTGGCATGAAACACAAACTTACAAAATATTTTTATTTCAAATAAATGCTGTCCTTTTGAACTTGCTGTTCATTCAAGAATCTTAAAAAAATGCATGATGGTTTCCACAAAATATTTAAGTAGCACAACTGTTTTTAACATTGAGAATAAATGTTTCTTAAGCATTAAATCAGCAAAATAAGATTTTTTTAAGGCTTATGTGACTCTGAAAACTGGAGTAATGGCTGCTAAAAGTAACCTTTGGCATCACATGAATAAGTTACATTTTCAAATATATTAAAATAGAAAACAGTTATTTTAATTAAAGTTTACATTATTACTGTTTTTACTGTATTTTCATCTAATAAATGCAGCCTTGGTGAGCAGAAGAGACTTCCTCACCCCAAACATTTGAACTGTAGTGTATACAAAACCAAAATAAAAGCTTGATAAACAAAATTAAATTTAAAAGTATCACATATATTGATAACTAGGAATGAGTTGTAACATGTTTATTATGGAATAGCCCTTTGTAACCCAGTGCATTAAATGTTGAATCTTTATTCTCTTATTCTCAGATTGCTGTCCAGGCTCTGCAGTGCTCTCATTACTCCATCCTGTGGCAGCTGGTGAAAATTACTGAAGGATGTCCATCAAAGGTGCAGTAGACCCCATAATATGCAGTTGCCAAGTACATAAGTCTGATTTATTTATGTTCTCTGAGAATTATGAGTTCATATGTGTTTCCTGGGCAGGATGATCTTGTGGCATTAAGGAGAGTGGTGAAGTCTTTTCTAGCAGTTTGCCAACAGTGCCTGTCCAATGTGAACACTCCAGTCAAAGAGCAGGTGAGTAAAGGCATTTTAGTGACATTGACAAACGTTTTGCTGGTGTTCTTTAATTATAATCTTCAAGGGATAGTTCACAAAAAATGAAAATTCTGTCATTAATTACTCACCCTCATGTTGTTATGAAGATACAAGAATACTTTTTGTGCACAAAGAAAACAAAAATAACGACTAAATTTCAACAATTTCTTCTCTTCCGTGTCAGTCTTCGACGCGCGTTCACAAGAGCACCTTGACGCATGTGTGTACATTCCTCTGCTTGTAAACAAGGCGCAGTGCATCTGGGTTCTACGTCAGAAGGCCGGCTCCTGCGTCAGCAGCACCGCACACGTGTCGTGGTACTCTCCTGAATGCACGGCGATGACTGACACGGAAGAGAAGAAATTGTCAAATAAAGTCTTTATTTTTCTTTTCTTTGTACACAAAAAGTATTCTCGTAGCTTCATAAAATTTAGGTTGAACCACTGATGTCACATTATTTTAACGATGTCCTAGCTACCTTTCTGGACCTTGAACATGGCAGTTGCGCTGCTGTCTATGCAGGGTCAGAAAGCTCTCAGATTTCATCAAAAATATCTTAATTTATGTTCAGAAGATGAACAAAGGTCTTGCGGGTTTGGAACGACATGAGAGTGAGTAATTAATGACAGAATTTTAATTTTGGGGTGAACTATCCCTTTAAATTTCATATGTGAATGTTTCAGTGTGCACTATAAGTCACTCTTTTCAAGAGTTTGTCTGTTTAATCTCCACAGGCTTTCATGTTGCTATGTGACCTGCTGATGATTTTCAGTCACCAGTTGGTCACAGGCGGTCGAGAAGCTCTGCAGCCGTTGGTCTTCAACCCAGACAGTACTCTGCAGAATGAACTGCTCAACTTTGTCCTGGATCACGTGTTTATCGACCAGGATGATGAAAATCAAAGCATGGGTGTGTGTCTGTTCTGATGGACTTTTGTAATCAGAAAATTTGGAGAATTTATTTATGAAGCCCATAAAAATATGTTGACACTTCTGAAAGGTGACCAAACTCATGATACTGAAAAAAAACATAAGCACTACAGTTTAAATGTTGGGGACAGTAAGATTTGAATTTGAATGAAATTATTACTTTTTTTCAGCAACAAGACTAGAGTAATGATGCTGAAAATTCAGCTTTTCCATCAAATGAATAAATTAAATTTTTAAATATATTAAAATAGAAGTTGTTTTTCATTTTTATAATTATTGTGAAATAATTTTTCACAATATTACTGTTGTTACTGAATTTTTTATTAAATAAATGCAGCCATGGTGAGTATAAGAGAATTAATCATTTTTTGAAGAGAAAATCACTATAAAAATATTTTGAGCAGTAGTGTACTTGCCATACACTAAACAGCATTTAATCAAGACTTCTTAAAGAGACTCTGCCTTAAATTTTTTAATTTCAGAGGGTGATGAAGAGGATGAAGCCAATAAGATTGAGGCTCTTCATAAGAGGAGGAATCTGTTGGCCGCCTTTTGCAAACTAATCATCTACGATATTGTGGACATGCCTGCTGCTGCTGACATCTTCAAACAATACATGAAGGTATGAAAAACTGTGATACATTTAAACCACACAGCTCTGTATGGTTAAAAAGTGATTCAATTAACTGGTGTTAATTTTTCAGTATTACAATGACTATGGAGACATCATCAAAGAAACCTTGAGTAAGGCCAGACATATGGACAAGATCCAGTGTGCAAAGACCCTAATCCTCAGCTTGCAGCAGGTATGGGATATGATTTTAGGATGAGATTGTTTTCTCAGTTGATTATGAATTTTGAATCTCTTACAACTTTACTCCCTGATGCTTCAAACACTTTTGTCTGCAGCTCTTCAATGAGCTGATCCAGGACCAAGGACCCAACCTGGACCGAACGTCCTCCCATGTCAGCGGCATTAAGGAATTGGCCCGTCGCTTTGCCCTCACATTTGGGCTGGACCAGATCAAAACCAGGGAGGCCGTGGCCACACTGCACAAGTAAGAAACATGGCATGCTTCGTCTTTACTGCACAGTTTGTATCTAAAGAATGAAAAGCAATTAATAGCAGAACCAGAACTGACTTTAATGACCTTCGGTTGCTTTTTAACTCTAGATGTTTAATGTGAATGTTTGCATGAACTAATGTTTATATAACAAACATAGGGATGGGATTGAGTTTGCCTTCAAGGTCCCGAATCCAAAAGGACCAGAGTACCCACCACCGAACCTGGCTTTCCTGGAGGTGCTCTGTGAGTTCTCCTCCAAACTCCTACGACAGGACAAAAAGACTGTGTAAGTACAGAAAACACTTTGCGGCTGTTTTATGTGTGTATATTTTGTGCAGCAGCAGTAAAAAATTTAAACACCCTTATTGAAGGGGTAGTTCATGCAAAAATGAAAACCATCATCATTTACTCACACTCATGTCATTCCAAACCTGTATAGCTTGCTTTCTTCATTGGATGAAAAAAACATATCTTGAAGAATGTTAGTAACCATATAGTTTCGGTACCCATTTTATCTTTTGTCCGTACAATGGAAGTGAGAACCAAAATGGTATAGTTACCAACATTCTTCAAAATGTCTTCTTTTGGCTCCACAAAAGAAAGCAAGCCATACAGGTTTGGTATGGCATGATTGGTTAGTAAATTATGACAGAATTTGCATTTTTGGATGGACTGTCCCATGAAGTCTTTATTATTGCTAGTTTTTACAATTTAGAATAATGATAAAATTGCCAAAACTGTGTCCAGACATTAGGCACTGTGTTTATGCATGTTACAAAGTGTTTGATTTACTTAAATGTGTTCATGCCACAGTCATTCCTATCTGGAGAAGTTTATGACGGAGTATATGATGGAGAGAAGAGAGGACGTCTGGCTGCCTCTCATCGCATACAGGAACTCCCTTCTGACAGGAGGAGATGATGACCGACTGTCTGTCACCACTGGCGCCAGCTCTACCAGCAAAGCCAGCACAGTCCGCAGCAAAAGGGGTCGACCTCCACAGCACAAAAGACGACCGGAAGGTAGAATAAAAAACAGTGAAGCTCACAAAATGTATTCATCTTAAATAACAGACTGCATATAAAATACCCTATTATTCCCTTGTTCCTGACATCGTCTCGGATTAATCTGATTTGACATTGATGTCTTTTTGTGTCATTTGTCAGAAGAGAGTGTTGAGGGTTCATGGGTAATGCGTAATGACACACTCCAGACACCAGGGGCCCTTCACACCCCACAGCTCACATCCACTGTCCTGAGAGAAAATCCCAGACAGGCAGTGGATCACATCCCAGACCAAGACTCGTCGGAACCAGGCTCCGAACCAGACTACATGCACAAGTATGGAATTAAAGCCTAATAAAAACAGGCAGCTATTTTTTCACATTGAAGGATAGGAGAAACATTATGCAGAACGTGCTGTTTTCTTACGTAACTTGAGCTCCAGCTGAAGCAATTCTCACACTGTTCTTGCGTCATTTTGTCCCCTCAAATTCAGCCCTCAGATTCAGATGTCATGGTTGGATCAGCAGAAGATGGAGGAGGTGAACAGAAAAGAGAGAGGAGGGATGAACTACATGAAATCACGCAGTGGTGGAGTGAGACAGCAGGTGTACGTACTCACACTGACCATGATGCTAAGCAGTTGACATTTCAGAAAGCTTTTTGTCCTTTACTAAAGTAATATATCATGAGAAGACATCACAGCAATTATAACCATGTGTGCAGTGACTAAACCCCCTTCAAGCATAATTGAATAGAATAGATGTTACATAATAGAATATATATATTACATACGATATTTAACACACACGTATATAAATAATACATTTTTAAAAATTGCTCATTGCTTTTATAAAAAGGCAGCAACAGCAATATAATTAAATTATTATTAACAATTATTAACAAATATATTTATATATTACATATATTAAAATTGTAATGTTATACAATAATAATAAAAACTTACTAATAATTACATTTAATCCAGTTTTAAAAAGTATGTATAGCATGCACTTATTAAATGGAAAGATTTGTATTTATTAAGTAATAATAATTTGTCAGTATAAAATATATTTAATTATATATTATTAGATAATATAAAATTATGAAATTTATACAGTAATACTAACTTATTAATAAATTAAAAAAGAATCTAGATATATAGTTTATTAATGTAACTATACGCCTAGTTTAAGAAATTAATGCCTGATTACAAAACTACAGTTTCTCAGTTTATCGTATCCTTAAAACTTGTCATTTCATTCAGACGAGGCCTCATGGAAGATGACGCTGAGCCCATCTTCGAGGACGTGATGATGTCCTCACGCGGTCAGCTAGAGGACATGAATGAGGAATTCGAGGATACCATGGTGATCGATTTGGTAAGAACTTACAGATGTGCTGAGCTCTATTTTGTGAGTTCTTTAGTGCATTTGTAATGTTTCCGGTGACGCCCAAGACTACGGTTCATATAGCAACATCTGTTCATCTGTAAGATTAGATCTTTTGAGGTCATTTTTGCTCATATGTCCGTTCTACGTTTTAGCCGGCGTCGAGAAACCGGAGAGAAAGAGCTGAACTCAGACCAGACTTTTTTGACTCTACGGCCATAATGGAAGATGATGCTGTAAGTGCACCTTTAAGATATTGATATGTAAATTAGATCTAGGTGTAACAATGTAACTTGTTTTGTAGGATTACCAAATTGAAATCTTCAAATGACAACCCTGCTTTGTTTTAAACATCATTCTGAACATGCTTTTTTTTATTCAGTGCTCTTGAGAAGGAAGTACTAATCAATTTACCTTGTCTTCTTCCTCTGACAGGGATTCGGAATGCAGATGTTTTGAGAGCGATTTCAGCCTCTGTGGGGATCACAACCAGCAACCAACAAGAATCACATCTTAAATGTTTAGTTTGTGTTTTAATGGCAGTTTCACACAACTACGCAAGCATGTCAGCTTCCTTCCTTAGTTTTGTGGTCGGCCATAATCCCATTGTGAGCCTTTCCTGTCAGTCAGCATTTCCTCAGTTCATAAGGACCAAGAAAGCCTATAAAATCTGTAATCTGCTGGTCTTACATTGGTGTTAGGATTTCAGCAACCTCAGCGGTATCGGTTCCTGTGTTTCATATCCAGTGATTTCTCCGAGCAGATGTGGTTTAATCAGACATTGTTCGGACAGACGTATTGTGACTCCACTGCTTTCTAGCTATTTTAAGACTATCACCCATTCATGTTCCGGTTTTGTTCAGGGTGAAATTTAGAAAGCATTCATTCATAAGTTAAAGCCGTAATTATTTTCTTTTCAGGTTTGTCCAGAAGTACTATTGGCCTTAATGTATTATGGCTTGAATTTGGTGTTAGATTACTTCATTTATCAGATTAGTAAAAGCAAAGCCCACATTTGTTCAGAATAACTTTTTAAAACTAAAAATGTTCAGATATATGTGGATATTTGGAACTTGGAGGAAGTACACAGAAGTATTCATTACTTCAGACACTGGTCATGTGTTTTATACAAAACTTTTTGTTGAGGAACTTGTTTGTTCTCATTTTAAAGACATGTTTACCTCATTTGTTTAGTCTGCTCAGTGATTTACCTTTTTACTGTGCGTTTTTGGAAACATTGTAGCTTTCACACAATACTGTATTGCTGTGAACATTTATTGATCGTTTATTGGGATTTTAGGTCCATCTGAATATCCACAGAGCAGGTTTTGATAGAGCCTGTGTGGTGTTGAAGAGTGATGTCAGAACCCTCGTTTAGACCGGTGCTTTTAGATACAAATCTGTTTTAAGACTCCGATCAAACAATGGGATTGTCATTTATTTTAACCTTTTAACTGTTCAAACTTTGCTCTTTTTTTTTTTTTAAATGTTTAAATAAAAGTATTTAAAAGTATTGTCAAGTATTTTCAAAAGAATTTTGTGAAACCTACCTTGTTACTAATACACATTAATTGTTGCTACATACAAGATTTGTTTTGATTATTCTCAGATAGTTTGGTACTAACATTCTGTGAGGCATATCTATGTAAAAAAAAAAAAAAAAAAAAAAAAAATAAGTAATACATATGTAAAATTCAAGATCCTCAAAATATGAAGAGAAGTTTTTGAGACATAGGAAAGGAACAGAGTTAGGATTGTGTCAACAAACATTGGTTTTATTGGAAACAGGCTTCCAGCCAACATAATCAAACTAAATTCTAAGATAGTGAAAATCATGATGGGGATATTACTGGTTTTCAATGCAATATACTATGCTGTGTTTTAATATAAATATAATATAATGTTATAATAATATATAATTTAAATTTATTTATAATATAATTAATACTATGTAATATTACTATAAATACTACAAAGTTCAGTTAAATGAGTCTAATGTTATTGGTATACAATTGTAATAAACATTTGAAGCAGGAGAAGTCAGAAAGTATTGTGAAAAGTATGCTATGCAGAAAGGAAATAATATTCACAGCTTAGTATTAATTGCTGCACGCATTAGATGGCGCTGCTGAAATGACAGATGTGGTTTTCGGTGTCTCGCGGTTATAAAAAAAAAACAAGGAAGATAGATAGAGTACTGTAATTAGTGGGGGAAATAATTATTTTTTATTAATCTTTCATGTACTTTGACTGCTATTTGAATAATGTGTCTGGATATTTTACTTGCGGTTTGTTATGCTTATTTATGCGTTTTTTTCGGGGCCACGCCCCACATCATAACGTTTATGTAACCAAGGTAACCAGTCGCCCACACTAGTTTGCGTTCTCTTCTCGCGAGTTAAATAACAGCCTCCAAGCCGGGAAAAGTATCGCGAGGCTATCACGGAAGCATCTCTCTCCATAGCCGTTTTTGCTTTGTTCTCGCGAGATGTAGACAGCAGCGCCCCCTCCTTGTTCTAATGCGGAGAGGAAGGGAGAGGAGAAGCCTTTTCAAATACACATACATTTCAATATCGCTACTGAATATATATCTATACGGTTTTCTCCAAAGAATAATTTGCGCATATGGTGTGGATATTAAATTCGCATATTTATCACGCGTAACACGTACGACGCACCCGAACGAAAGGAAAACGGCAGGATAAATCCTAAAAAGAAGCGAAGCGGCCTGTTTTTGTTCCTGAGGCGCAGCTCACACTGACATCAAACGGGCAGCTACTCACGTCGCTTTGTTGCACCCGACCTGAAATTACTTCGCAAGCATGCACAGGGAATATTTGGCAGCCTAACGCGCTGGAAGACTGGGTGCACAAGAAGCGGCCTGTTTTTTTTTTTTTTGCAGCGGCAGCGCCATGAAGAGCGGCGGACAATAACAGAGTGACGGTGCTTGTGTGCTGCCGCTATGATCTGAGGCTGGTCACATGTATGCACGACAAGAATAATAAACCTATGGAGTAGCACTGCAAATAAGGACTGCGTTCATCCAGGATAAGACGATGAGGCAATCTGTGCTCTCTGTTTGAATTTGGTGGTAATTGCAGGCCCGGTGTGGTGAAGAGCGCCACCAGTGTGTTGTTGAATTTAAAAAAAATTATGCAAGAAATTGTGCAAATGCATCGCTGAATGTGTTTTCAATCGGATCAGCGTGGATGTGCTTTTATCCGATGACGACGATGATGATTTGGCCGTATTTCGTGCCGTGGAAGAGGGGCAAACGTTAAGATGGAGTGGTTTTAATGCATGCGATGTAAAGACAAGCATATCTGCTAAAAAATCTCCCTTGCATTTCACACTCGACGGAATTGCACGCGCAGGTTCACCGACATTGATGATACGTGGGCTGCTGGCGGGACTGAAGCCTTGTACTGTCGCTCCTTCTCTTTTTTTTCCTCCCCGAACTGGATCTGTCTAGCTCGACGCTGCTGAGATGAACCCGGTGAATGCGACCACTCTCTACGTGTCAGCTTGTCGGTCGGTGCTGCAGTGCGATCCCCGGGACCCTCAGGCTTTGGCGGAAATCTATAAGCTCATGCCTTTTTTCAGACAGTCTCTCGCCTGCCTTGTGTGTGGTGAGAGCCCGTTTATTCTGTTTCATCACTGCATGCTTGCATGATCACTTCTGCTTGATCACTGCATGCTTATAGCTGCTCTCAAAGCTCCACCGACCATGACACACCCCCATTCAGTCCACAGATTCCTGACCTACAATGACAACTGGAGCCTGGGTATTTAGACACAGCAGTGCATACAGGCTCTGTGTTTATAGATGCATGGGGCTTGAATAGTAATGGCTTGCCTGTTCAGTCTGATAAAACCTGTCGCTTGAGACAAATTGCCCAGTTACCCAGATTCTGTCTTTACAGGGTTTTCGGTGGTAATGTTAAAAATGTTCATATAAATATAGTATATATATATATATATATATATATATATATATAATAATATATT